AGTGTCTAGGCTAACCCACTGTCTCACACGGAATGGGTTGGGATTAAATAGATCGACCTCCCTGTGCCCTAGTTCCCATTGTTTCGGTAGCTTCGAGGTACACCGATGACAGATGGGAGGGGAAGTGGCGTATTTTCCGCCGCGGTTTGTTTGAATAAGACGAGTCGCTTGCAACCGACTCCGCTTTTTGAGTCAAACGACTAGCCTTGTTGCCGTTCTTCTTCTTTTCCATCCCGTTCAGAAGGGATTCGTTGCATTAACGAGAGAGGGAAGTGCACCCGCTAATCGCTACATGTGATGACATCCACTTTTTTTCCGGTAGTAGAAGTTATCCACGCGAAATAGTAATAACGGCGGGTAATTACATACGATTAGCCCTCTCTAGGCAACAGATGATACCCTTAAAAGGCAGCCCTTCAGCACTGCGCATATCCATTCCATCCACTTGGCTGGATTTGCTTGGCCGACGTTGGGCCTCCTCTCGGCCAGCCAATTGGCCAATCAATCAATCATTTAGATGTGTGAGACCGTTCGCTGAGGGTCTCGGTAAATGCGGAGGTCCTCACCGAGTGGGATATCGCTCTGCTAGATTCCCTTGAAGGAGAAGGGTTACTAACTAGGGTGTAGAGCCATCACCACTGTCAATGTCAGGTGAAAATACGTCAAATGGCAGGAGATTATGATGATTCGATCAAAATGAACGGGTTAAATTATACCACCTTTTGTTTCGTTTCACTAGCTAACGTCGCTAAAATCTTTTTTGATTGGGGCTACGTGAGAGTGTTTGCTTTATATTGTTAAAGTGTGATAAGACCTCAAATTTTGCCTCCACACACTACCTAACTAGGCTTCTAAACCTCTAAGAGAGGTTTTTATTTGGAACAGTCGAGAGCTGCTAATGTCTTCTTGCCAATTAATTAATCCTATACGCCACCAGACTGCGAAATTTCTCCCCTCTCGGTGTGTAGGTAACGATAGTTAATTCGATGGGAGTACACGGTCGGATTGTGGATAGACCTGTCTTTCACCCCCACCTCAACGGAGATGGTGGCGGCGTCCTTTTGGACATCGGTGTAACCTTCTCACGGGACCTCTGGCCGTGGACTGGCTACCTTGCCCTCCACATCTCCGTCCGTGACACACCCAGGGCGGCAACCTTCCGAGGACTGGGTGAGGGGTGGATTAGTCTTAAGGTGGAGTCAGATGATCCTGTAAGTCTTTTCGATTTTATGGAATTATTCGTGGATTGTTGTATTTTGTGGTCAGGGCCCCTTCACATAAGCGTGTTGATTCGTGCAGTGCTTGTGAATCACGGTCAGTTACCGCTCCAGGATTGTTGATCCCACTTTTTTTACAATTTGGCGCACCCCGATGGTTGTCATGATCAATTAGCTTTAAAATCGGGGGCGGAAGGGCGGGGGGAAAACGAGTTCAGTTACTGCTGTAGGCATTAAAATACGCCCGACAGTGAGTCCTCCATTATGATAGTCTAAAATGAAGTCGCGAGTCATTCATGTTTGAGAGGAAGCCATTCCACTAGTCCAAGCATACAACTTGACGCAAGCATAAACACAGATGGATGTGGAAGTTAGTATTAAGTAGTCATTGTGCTGAATGGACAAAAGAATGGCCAAATTTGCCAGTATGCTTAAGAGGCAGTGCCTCCGTGACGACTGGTATTGTGTTCTCCTTTTTCCATCTGATCAGAAATTCAAACTTGACACAAAGCAGGAAGAATCAAAAATGCGGAAAAGAAGTCGGCTTTTTGTCACATTAGAGGTGGTCTCCCTTTAATGATTGTTTAGAAATATGGAATGTTAAATGCTCTTTTGAAAAAGCGGCTTGGTATCTAGTGTTGGAAAGGACTTTGACAACACAGACAAGAGTGGGCTGGATTAAAGAAGAGGATGCTGAGCTATAAGCAGTCCCTTCCACGATGGACAATTCATTACTTGATTGGGTATCAGTAAGCAAGGATGTTGTTATGGGTCGAATCGGTTCAAAAAAAGTATAGTCGAAGGCCAAAACTAACAATTCCTGAAGGATAGTCACCGGAGCCCCTCAATTATTCCATTGTAGTTGCAGCCTTTGAAATAATTGATACGGTGGCCTCTCATCCTTTCAGAAAACCCAGACGACCCTCTCAACCGAATTGAAGCTGGCACTTCGTGTGCCTATCATCCCGACACCCAAACGAGAGTGAGTTGCCCTTGTGCTCGGACCTGGCCCCAAAACCTTGTTCCTACTCACCCTCACTCGGTCACTTCATTGCTCTTTCGATAGGATGCGGATTCTCTGGGACACCTTCCACAATATTCGGTACCCTGCGGCCTACGTGCCTGCGGATGATTTGACCATGACTTTGGCGTCTCTTGATTGGTACGTTTTTGAGGCTTTGGTTGTAGTCTGCTTGGCTCTGACTGGCACCATCAGGTTTCATCCCAGAGGAGAATCGACTACCAAAACCATGCAGTGTTTCATCGCTTTAATATGGTACCAATTGTTTTTTTTTTGTTATTTTCTTCCCACTTACTTAAGTGTGTCACTCATGCGTGACATTTGGTCGCACCTGTAGGCGAGTCGCGGCATTACAAATTCGTTATGCTTGTAGCCATGGGGAGGGAGAAGAGTGGACTCTGCATTCATTTCGCTGACTCTTGAGTCGACTTATTCCCTTTTTCTTTCCACCCCCCCCCTTTACACATTGAATCTGACTTGTATTGATGAATGGAAGGCAAGTTTAATCACTTCTCACCGGATTTTTAGACTTACCGACTGCTTTCATTCACTCCCTTCTGTCTGTTTAGCACGTTAAAGTTAGCCGTTCCTTTAAATCTTGACTCGCTTACCTTTTACTATATGTTAAGCTGTTCGACTGGGTCCGTATCAGTCAGTAAACGGTGGAAACCTCGGAACTTTCATCGAGACTTTATCACTCGTTAATCTCATGTATCATCATGACCGACAAATGCTGTAATATTGCGTCTGCACTGGCAAGTATGCGAGGTTGGGTAGTCTTGTCTCGCCTTGTACCTCACAAATACGCAACATTCGTCCATCGCCAATATATGAAATCCCCTGGTTGTGCTAAATTGTGCCATAAACGGCTTGGCCGAGTTTAAACCAGCATGAGTTTTCTGTAATAATGAGCGGCCATATTGGTGGTCACAAGGGATTCGGATAGTCGACTACGTCACGCCGCGTGTCCGAGTCGCTCCTGCGTACAACGAATGAACAAAGTGGCCCCCTGGGAGTATCATTTTAGAGCGCTCGCGTGAAAATAGGAAGTTGGGTTTATAATGGGACAGAAGAGGATGCATTCTGTGGAGTGCCGAATGTGTTCAACTTTGTCTGCACAGTTCTACGCTCTCTTCTTTGCCCACTTATCTCCGTGTTTAGTTGATAGTTGCTTCAACGTAATCTAATCTGTCAGCGTAACCAAATCACCAGATGTCACACATATCCACACCCGCAACTATCAGAATTTTTCAATTCTTCACGTATGTGCAGTTTTTTCCACAAAAATTAAACTGAATGTCTGCCAAAATTCGTCCTTTCAAAACAGAACGCCATAATTGTACCTTGCTTGTGCAATTATTTCAGAAGTGAGCCAGTTTTAAACAGGCTAAGAATGTTGTTTGCTTAGCTGCTGTCTTATGCCTACTTAATCGGTTTTCAACACACTTTGGTACCACTAAAATAAGGAAGTCGGAGCGTCACATATATGTGACACCGGAGGCGAATGTGTTAACATGAATGCTGAAACTGCTTGATTCGATGCGTTTTCAAGCTAGCGGTTTAATTTTGCAGCAAATGCATGACGCCTAAGCCAAGTGTTATCTTTACCTTGATAGGCTGGGAGACCACATCCACACAAATTTTCGCGACCTCTACCTCTCCCTGCGCGGAGCAGGCTACTTTGTTGAAGTCCTTCAGCAACCATTTACATGTTTCGACGCCTCGAAATACGGTAAGAAGCCAGCTCTATCTATTCCACTCTATGAAACATTGAAGCCTTCAAGTTTTCTACTCCAAGGGACTGTTGAAAGGCGCTTCAGCTTAAGCATCGTTATTTTCCTTTATGTAGTGCGGTCCGATAGTTTAGTCTCTTCTTTTCGGTGCCCAGTGACGCCACACACTTCAGCACAAGATTGAGTCGAAAGTTGTATCGTGTCCTCAAGACTCCACAAAACGTACCATTCTGGATGAATGTTGATGTGTTTTTAGCAGGGTGCCATGCTAGCAGTATGGTATTGGAATCTCGAAAGATGCAAAAACCCGTTTAATCCTTCATTTTCTTCAGTTGAGCATAATTCATCTCAACTTTCCTCGTAACAACCTCCATTTCATCCATTACAGGGTAGTCGGCTAGGTTTTAATAGTCCATGAGTGGGCGACGAAGCTTAAACAATGCTTTTCAATCGGCTCCAGCGATCTTCTTGATTACAAGCTGGATTGATCGGATACGTTTTTCCGACGTGTTACTTGGGGGGCGGAAAATGCTCCATAGCAAGTGGATTTCGTGGGCTACTAACCTCTCGCAGGTACAAGTGTTTGAAAGCAAGACCACTTGGTAAAGTTTGCAATCGAAGGTTTCGTCGCGGTGCTATTTCCGTAGAGCATTTATGGGTATCATGGTGCTGCCCGCCCACCCACCTGGGAGAGTCTTGGGTTCTTGGAAAGTGGAATGTAGCACTTAATCATACAGTGCCCCTAGTTCAGGGTTTTAGTGTGGTTAGCGCAGGCAGTTCTTTTTGGGGTTGTTGTCAAAAGTCAGCACCACTTTGCTGGTTCTTCTGTTGCAAATGCGTGCAGCCTTGGCCATCCGTAGCAGAGATGTTCCGCTTTTTTTTGAGGTTTGAGCGTTTTCTTCAGCCAGTCAAAGTTGAGTTGCTGCCCTTCCTATACAGTGGATCCCCCTTGCTACTGCCCCCAATATTTCCTCCAGATTAGCTTTGACGCCGTGATGTGTCATACTCTGGTCCCTCGCGCCTTCTCTGAAGCTACATACAGACGGGTCAGCAGGCCATTGGCCATGCCGTCGGGCGAGAGCGCGGTTTAACAAAATGTTAGAATACTGCAGGACTATTGTGGCAGTGTGGTATGCGACTTATGGAAGCCTGAAAAGGTCCACACAGCCATAAACTCAATTAAAACAGCCCTTATTCTGATAAAACACTATGTTTGCACTATTTTCAGGAACTCTGATGATTGTGGATCCTGAGGAGGAGTTCTGGCCAGAGGAGGTTTCGAAGTTACAGGCTGATGTTTATCAGAGGGGCCTTTCCCTTCTCGTCTTTGCTGGCTGGTTCAACACCTCCGTTCAAGCAGCACTAAAATTCTACGACTTAAATAATAGGTAAGATGCGTAATAGAGCCGTATATGACGAGGGCATGGGAGGAATTATGTTTTACTTCTGGAAGGATGGAGGGACTGGGAGAGTTGAAGCAAAGGGGTCGTGTATTGTATATGTGCTGCGAAGAAGCACTTTTGGTGGTGTATGTTAGAGCGCCAGTAGGTGGTCTCGGAGGTCTGGTTCCTTCAGGCCTGATTGTTCACTAGTACGTTGTACCACAGTTTCGCGTTCTTCCGGGCCTACATTTGCGTCGACTTCACTCTGGGGAGGTATCAAACTTGGAGATCTGATTCCTCTTACTGTGGTAGGTTAGCAAAAACAGAATGGCCGGAAGCGTGAAATGATTCCTGCCACCACTCCGTGGAGATCGTAGCACAGTGGGCAGACGGAGAGTGGTTGTAAATAATTCTTTTTAAGTAAACCAGGCTTCATCAGCTTGAGTATGTAAGAGTGAATTCCTGCATCTGGTCATCCTGTCAGATAAAAGCCTGTCAATGCTTTCATATCTTCCGCTTGGATGAGTAAAATACCTTTTCAGTTCCCTTCTTGAGTCCCCTTGACTGTTTCTAAATTAAGCAATGCATAACTTATTCTAACATCGCCTTTAAAATGACTTTGTTTAATAGGAGCAGCGCTCTATTGTCAATTAAATTATGCAATTTTCTTTGCCCACAAATCCTACAGACGTTTGTGGGTGCCAGTCACAGGAGGTACCAATGTGCCCGCTCTCAACACTCTCCTGGCTCCCTTTGGTGTTCAATTTGGGTGCGTACCGCCTTTAAATTCCGGTCCTTCTAATTTACTTGTAAAAACAAATATTTTTCATTTTGTTTTAGAGACCGGATTTTTGGTGAAGGATTTAAAGTTGGTGATTTAATGGGTAAGAGCCTGGTTTCGGTATTTCACGTTAATTGAATCTTCACTTGTCAGTGACAGCAGTAGTGGTGATGGCTTTACAAACTAGTCAGTAATCCTTCTCTTCGCGCAACTTATTTAACGAAATATTAACATATGGGATCCCGTGTCTGATATCCGGTGTCCGAAAGGTCAATATTCCACTCGGCAACGGCCTCCGCATTTGCCGAGACCCTCAGTGAATTGTCTCACACATCTGATTGATTGTTTGATTGGCCGATTGGCTTGCCGAGAGGAGGTCCAACATCAGCCAAGCAAATCCAACCAAGTGGATGGAATGGAAATGCACAGTGCTGGAGGACTGCTTGTTTGAGCACATCTTTTGTTGCCTAGAGTGGGCCAATCATGTGCGATTAGATACTGTTATTAGCGGAATAATAAGTGGTTGTCAAAGTGGGTAGTGATTAATGGGTCCACTTTGCCCCCTCGTTAATACAATGAAATTAAATGTAATGGATCCCTTCTGAATGAGATGAAAAAGAAGGCCGTTAACAAAGCTGATTGGTTGATTTATATCGCCTCTCTCGTTTCTACCTCTAATCCCCGAAAGCTGGGAGCCATAGAAGAGGGGACAGTGGGGGGGGGGGGGGGGGAGGACTACGCAGGCAGTTGCAAACAACGGCTTTTCTCATTCAAACAAAGCGTAGTGGAAAACACGCTACTTCCCCTACCTTCTTTCTCCAGTGCATTTCATAGCCACCTAAGTGCAAGAACACCCACTTTTGTTGCACACATGTCACGCCAATCTGAGGAGGTCACTCCATTTTAACCCCTTCCCATCCTCTGTGTGGCTTTGCATTGGTGATGCAAACCATAGATAAGTAGTTTTGCTAGAGCAAGTCATTGCACATTTTCCCCTTGTAAATGGGAATGGCTTAGAAGTGATTGCATTTCGAAGGGGGATAGTGGATGGTATAATTGAAGTGGTTGAAGTGTTAAGATAATGGCGAGGATATTGCAGTGACTAGGAGAACGCCCTACTCCAATTCGCTTTGACAAAACTCGACTTAGCATCTCATCACTATCTGGACGAATTCGACAAGTAAGTGTTCCACATTGTGATGCATCAGCCTTTTTGCCACACGTCTCCTCCCTTCTATTACTATAAGAGGTTGTTTTTTTGGAATAGATGCAGGCTATTCGAGACATTGGCGATCGACGTGACCGTTTGTCTGTCCATCGGTCGGTCCGCTTGTTTGCGTCTGTTGATATGTTAGTGCATGATCTTGTAAAATCCCAAAAGTACATCGTATTTACTGTTAAAAGCAGTCACAAAAGTCAGGTGAGGTTGGAGGCTAGCCGAGACACTGA